ATGCTACAGTCGTCTTCAGTGGTCCACATGCTACAGTCGTCTTCAGTAGTCCACATGCTACAGTCGTCTTCAGTGGTCCACATACTACAGTTTTCTTCTGGTGGAGTCTACAGCCTTGCTTTCAGAAATAAGTTCAAGAAGCTGATTCTGATGGTTTCAGTCAGTTTCACCTGTTGATTTGTCAGAAATTCTAAGAACCGTCTGTTTTCATCAGTTATTTGAAGAAAAGAAGAGAATTAGCAACATGACTGTTAATCGTCAGCCGTACGTTCAGGTTCAGTTTGACTGAATGGGCCTGATTTTTTTTAATGTGAAACAAACTGGATAAAATAATTATATATTAACATTTACAGATCAAAACATTTTATTAATGAATATTACATTTTACTTTTATGTCCAAAAGAGAATTAATGAACTAGTCATGATGATGATGTTCACATATGAGAGAAAGATCACACTAAGAAAGATGAAGTATCTTCTCATTTACTGGGTCTAACATCCATCCACACAATCTGTCAGAACTTTAGAAAAGCAAAGTTTTCAATGTTTGTTGAGACTGTCCCAGTATGCAGTTGGCACAATACCAAGATAGAAAAATATCAGCAATGGCTTGAGAGAACAGCTGTTGCTGCCCATCAATCTGTGAGAGGTCAACGGTCATTTCCAAACTCCGTGGAGTCACGCAGAAAACCTTTAGCACAGCTGATTGATTGTCATCTGTACAACTGGACTTCAGCGTTGCAGTTACGCACATTTTTCTTCTCAGTCCAGAGTTCTAAGCTTGAAACCATGAAATGATCCGTTGATGCAGCTGAACTCATGCAGATTAATCCCCCCCCCCCCTCCTGACGGTCACTGTTTGGTCACCTGCATGCAGATGCAACTTACAATATAACTGACAGGAAACAGGCCTATGAGAGCAAAGCACAAATAAACTACTATCTGGTCCATCTGCCGATACAAAACAGACCTGATGGATCTTTGAAGTCTCAAAATGACAATCATGGATGAATTTTAATATTTATTTAAAAAACATTTTCATTCTTCTGCTATAAACTTTGAATTTTTTTTTCTTTTTCTTTGTGTTTTTGTAGGCATTACTTAGATGAGTACAAAGACCACTATGATGCCCACGCCTCCTACAACAACAGTATCTATGGTAACGGGTATAACGACGGGAGGAGGACTACCCGTAGACGCCTACTTCCTGCCACGCCCACAGGTGAGGCCAAAACACAGGTGACACATGCTGCATGATATAATGTCTTGAGGAGTTTATCTAGTAAAGAATAAAGGTAAAATCTTTGGAAAAAGACTAAAGTTATTTCATGTAATCGATCAGATGTCAGAAATAACTGATCAGACTG